ACATTGTTGAAAAACTTACTGGTAGAAGTAGAATAGCAGAGGTAAGTATAAAATGCATTTATCCCTGCAGGTTTTTATCTCCACTGCAATGACATCACCATGATGCACCAGTAATGAGCATCTATTACATATAAAGCTCTGGTTGTGCCAGGACAACCTCACATACAATGTAAACGAACAAAATCTAAATGATTCTAAATTTAAAAAGAAAAAATAGCATAAACCTTACTTACATCTCGTGTGGCAGTTCTATTTAACTCTGATACTACTCTGATACTGAATTACAGATTGTAAGTTAGCTGTAAATGATGCTGCAATACTTTGGGCCTACTTACCGGTGTTGAAAGGAAAAAGCCACATTAGAAGCTAATCGATTGGGCTGTCAGGAAACAGCTGCCTAAATTAGATCTTATAGGTCTGATGCTCTGCGTCCTCTAACTGAACTAAATATGCAGCTAAATAGTTAAAGGGCCATTCTAGCTCCGTTGAAAGTGCTTTAACCCCATTAAGGACCAAACTTCTGGAATAAAAGGGAATCATGACATGTCACACGTCATGTGTCCTTAAGAGGTTAAACATGTCTGGAAAAAAATAATAAACGCGCTAAACTGAAAGCATAGATTAATTGACAAAGAGCTTATTAAGAGTAAAGATAGCTATCTTGCTTTGCACACGGGCAACTGATTGGGAGCAAGATCAATGTCCTAAGGGTTAGAATGGGAAACATTTATAGCAAAGATTATATCAACTGAGGTTGGGTTCGCTCGTCTCACTGCAAAGACGTTTAGACACAGAAGCCATGTGTATGTTACGTAGCAGAGCATTTATCTAATTGGAGCAGCTATTATATTACAGCATGACATGCACGGACGAGTATAAACATTTATTGCCTTGACTACAAACAACAAGAGAGAGTACTTAATTCTAATGCCACATTGTAATGGAGATGGGCAGGTTACGCGACTGTATCATCACATAATTAACCAAAGATCCACATTGTATTTCTAATTATCTACATGCACAGGTGCACACTTGCCATCTTCTTTTTTGGAGCTGGATAGTTGAGGTGCACTTTAGTAATTTTAGGCCACATGCCATAAACTGCCCGATAGTTGGTTACGCTCATAAAGTGAAAACTGCAACAGGTAGAAGATGTAGAAGTCAATGTTAATGGACCGATCCATTATGTTGATACATAACAGAATCCTGAGTCAAAATATAGTTCTAGACTCTGTGACCTTTGATGATGATCCACATAGACCTACAACCTATAAAACCATATTGTCATTTTTGTGATGACAGGTAATTCATGGTAACTGTCAGAAGTTACTAATCCCATGAAGTGAATAAATTTAAGATAAGCACGTCAAGATATATTTCATCAATCCAGGAGAGAACACAGAGTAGCTGACACTGTATATACATCAGCCAGCTAAAAATAGTGAACATTTGCCATTTGAATAGGCAACCGCAGAAGGGGCACAGTGCAAGGATTTTAAAGGTCCTGAGTAAGCTCCCTGATTATCCCAAATGTTGTTCGCTCTCTTTTTCCCCACGTTTGTGGCCTCTTTCATTTCTCCCTCTGACAGTCTTTCCTTTTTTTCAATACTGAAAAATTGTAACCTGGCTTTGGTGCTCGAATTGCCCCATTGCCTTACAACATCTCCAGCCCTGCCTGTGGAACCACTGATGACAATGAACACCTCTCTCTTAAAACTCCATCCTCAATACTGGCCAGTTGCTCTTTCACGTTTTCCAACAATAAATTATCCAAAATGAAGCAAAATAGGACCCATTTAGCAGTGGAAAAATAGCTAACAATAGTGATTAAAGCATTGTCCTGTGTTGGGTTCTTTCATTTCAACCACGATTAAGGGTCTAAGAGGCATGGAAAATTTCATAAATAACTGATGTGGTTTTGCATGTCTACTTAAATGTAGTGTAGTATTTGTGTAGTAACATTTTATTCTGAAGTTTTAGTGTCATGTACACAGGTTTATTTAGTAAAGTTAGAATTCAAAGTGAATTTTAAATTTAAGGTGAGAGTAGCAGAATGACTGTAGGGTTGATTTAGAGAATCTTTCCAATTTGGCTATTTTAACCATAAATTTGAAATTCATTTTGCATTTTCACTTCAGTGAATAACCCTGTCAGTGTACTAAGTGCCAGATCAATGTCTGTAGAATCAGAAAAGTTTGTTATTACTAAGCATGAATGTACTAACACAATAACCTACATTTTATCAAAGGTGGCAACAAGTTCACCACTTGTGAGTAATTCTGCAATCTATTTTAGAGTATTTTATGTTTCAAAATATAGCGATAATCTTTGCATTATCATGCAGGAACAATGTTTGCTGTTGCAAGATTATGACGTGTATAAATAAATGTACTGAAATGATGGGGAAATACTGGAAACAAGATAAGTGTTTCTTTGAAAGGTAAATATATAAGGCAGAAAATATAATAAAATATCCCATATAATATAATTCCTGGTACAG